TACGTAACTATAGTTTGCCTGTCAGTTGTTCTTCCAAGTAAGACTGACTGGTTGAGCTGGCAATTCCATCACATAAGCGTTTTCCTTGAGGCGACTGTCATCTTCAGGACTCAGCAGAAGGGCTGCGTGTCTTCCCATTTTGTCACGCAAAAGATCAAAAAGACCCATACTCGAGGACAGAGACAATAATATTAGTAACACTTACTACTTCATCAAAGACATTTTTAAGTAAACTGATCTTCTTTTAACTTCGAGTGCGTGGCGTTACGATCAGCGGTTTGGGGCCACTGTCTCAATTTGTGCCGGGGCAGCAGCAGTTTTACCCACTGTTGCATTTAGGTCATCGTTGTGAATGTCAACTCAGTGAAAAAGGCAAATAATGTCTCGGTATATTATGAAAATAGCACTGACGTTACAGACCCCTGAAAGGGTTCTAGGGGCACCTAGGCAGCTGCAGACCACACTCTAATGTCAACTTAAAAGCAAATTTCCCTGTTATTTTACCTCAAAATGACTTTATTCAGAAATAGCAAAAAGAATTGCAATTCAGGATGCACACGCTATGGAGAAGCAGAGGCAAATCTGGAGAAAAAAGGAGGGAGCTGCTTTTATAGAGAAAAAGGGGGAGTAGGGAGGGGCTGTTCTAAAGGAAAGTCCACCGGGGAGAGTAACAGTTCAGGGCAGCAACAGCTTCTCATTGGCTGAGCTGTGGCATTTCTGATTGGCTGAGCTGCGGTGTTTCTCATTGGCTGGGCTGTTGCCGGGCAGGGAGGGAAATCTTCCTTCAGTAGTAAATAGTTGTACTTCCTGAGATGCAAGCCTGCCTCTTCCTGTTGGGAGTAATTGATGATGTGTGGTGGGGCTGAGAGCTCCCCCTGCAGGCCTTCGCTATCTAGTTTAGTTGAGGTTTCTTTTTTTTAACATTTTATTTAATTAATTAATTAATTTATTTATTTATTTATTTATTTATTTGGTGAGGAAGATTAGCCCTGTGCTAACATCTGTTGCCAGTCTTCCTCTACTTCATATATAGGACTCTGCCACAGCATGGCTTGATGAGCAATGCGTGGGTCCACACCCAGTATCCGAACCTATGAACCCTGGGCTGCTAAAGCAGAGCATGCAAACTTAAACACTATGCTACTGGGCCAGCCCCTGAGGTTTCTTTTATTAATTTCCACACTAAGAATTGCTGTTTTAACACAATCACAGACCATTTCTGGTTTCAGTTCATGTGTTGAGCCTGAAATTTAGGGATTCGAACTTGTGGTTGTATTTTCTTGGGCCATTTGTGCCCTTAGAAGCAGCCACGTTCCTCTAGGGCCTGCTTATTGTCCCCAGGGCCTGGCTATCAACAGGATCCTCCATCCAGAGTAGCAAAGGCTGTAATTAGCTGTTCTGCTCCTGCAAGACGCAGACTGCCAGATTTCCCACACTAGCAGAGTGTTCCCAACTTTCACTCCCAAACAGGCCTGATAACAAATTCTAGATTCCTCTAAGAATCGATTGCTTGCAACCCACTTTCTCAGAGGAAACCAACTGGCTCATTTAAAGAGAAAGATGGGGGGCCATCCCCGTGGCATAGTGGTTAAGTGCACGTGCTCCGCTGTGGCGGCCCAGGGTTCACAGGTTCGGATCCCAGTGCACACCGACGCACCATTTGTCAGGCCATGCTGTGGTGGCATCCCATATAAAGTGGAGGAAGATGGGCATGGATGTTAGCCCAGGGCTAGTCTTCCTCAGCAAAAAGAGGAGGATTGGCAGATGTTAGCTCAGGGCTAATCCTCCTAACAAAAAAAACAAAATAAAATAAAAAAATAAAGAGAAAGATGGGGAAAGCGGCCCTGCTGGCCTAGTGGTTAAAGTTCAGGGCTCTCATCGCTTCGGCTGCCCAGGTTTGCTTCCCGGTCACGGAACCACACCACCCATCTGTTGGTAGCCGTGCTGTGGTGGTGGCTCACATAGAAGAACCAGAAGGACTTACAACGAGGATATACAACCATGCACTGGGGCTTTGGGGAAGAAAGATTAAAAATAAATAAATATTGGGCCGGCCCTGTGGCTTGGTGGTTAAGTGCACATGCTGCGATGCTGGCGGCCCGGGTTCGGATCCCGGGTGCGCATCGAGGCACCACTTCTCTGTCCATCCTGAGGCCGAGTCCCACATACAGCAACTAGAAGGGTGTGCAGCTGTGACATACAACTATCTACTGGGGCTTTGGGGGCAAAAAATAAATAAAATCTTAAAAAATAAATAAATAAATAAATAAATAAATAAATAAATAAATAAATAAATAAAGAGAAAGATGACTGATTAGAAGGGTGCTGGAAGGCCTGAGCCCAGGCTGTGGAAATAGGTGGGAATTAGGGGCTGCTGCTAGCATCAGCACAGGAAGAGCTGGAGGAGGGGCGGTGTGCAGGGAGGCAGAGGGGTCAGGGGTTGGAATGCCAGAGCAGCCTGGAGAGAGAGCCAAGCCCCACCTGCTCTCTGCAGACTCCTCAGCAGTCCCCACGCCCTGGGGCCCCCATTGAAGCCTGACAGTCCATTGGGTGGACAGATATATGGGGCCCTGGCCCCTGCTGCCCTCCCCTCACCCTGGGGCCTTTTTGGAGGTGGCTGGGTTAGGGTCTGCAAGGGGCACAAAGAGGCAGGGGCAGGTGTAAAGGCAGCTGCCCCTGCTCTACACTGGGGAGGTGCCCCAGAGATGGTTCAGGATGGAAACTTTGGACCCAGAGAGGCAGCCCACCAAGCACCACCCCTTCCCCAGCCCCTGGGCCATGCTTCTCTTCTCCACCCCAGCCTCCTCTGAGACCTGCCTCCTCCCTGCTCTCGGAAGAGCAAAGAGGCCCCTCCACCCTGTGGCACACCCTCTATGGCCCGTTGCCCAGGTCCCGTCCAGTCCCAGAGCTCTCCTGCCTGCCTCTCCAGCACCCCTCACATCCCACAGAGCAGCTCCAGGGAGGGACCCCCTCAGGGCCCACACCTGCCCTGCCTGAGCTCACAGACAAGGAGGGGGCAGCAGAGGAGGGCAGCTGCCCACACCTGGGCAGGCTGCCAGGGATGGTGCAAGGGCGCCCAGGGCAGGTAGGAGTTTTCCGAAAGGAAGAACAAGTGAATAGGGAAGAGCTTGGGCAAAGTCTCAGAAACACACCTGAGCCCCTCCTCTCCTGCTGCCAGCACACAGCAGGCACTGGGGTAGGTGGGAAGGGCTGGGGGGGTTAGGGCAGGACAGGACTTGGCGGTGCAGGAGCCTGAGTAGGGCAGGGAGGGCAGTGGGCAATGCCACCTCTAATGGCCATAACCAGGGTTCGGAGTGAAGCTGAAAGTTGAAAATGTGACTGAGTCCTCAGCCTCCCTACATGTGGGTTTGAGATACCATTTCCCACTTAAAGAAACCAGAGCTCCTTGGAGAAATGGCCAGTTCCGGGTCTGGGGCAGCCTCTGTGGTAAGCTGAAAAATCACCTCCCCAAAGATGTCCACATCAAATCCCTGAGTTTGTGAACGTGACCTTATTTGGAAAAAGCATCTTGCAGGTATGATTAAGTCAAGGATCTCAAGATGAGGAGGTCGTCCTGGATTATCTGAGTGGGCCCTAAATGCCATCACAAGGGTCGTCATAAGAGAGAGGCAGAGGGAGGGACACTCGGAGAAGCCATGTGAAGATGGAGCACAGAGAGATGCAGCCCAGAGCCAGGGAAGCTGGCGGCCCCCTGAAGCTGGAAGAGGAAGGAGGGATCCTCCCCAGAGCCTCTGGAGGGAGCACGTCCCTGCTGACCTTGATCTCAGACTTCTGGCTTCCAGAACTTGAGAGAATAAATTTCTGTTGTTTTAAGCCACCAAATTTGTGGTAATTTGGTATGTCAGACACAGGTGTCGTCACACCAGACAGCAAGACACCCACCAGAGACCATAGCGGTCATGTCAGAAGGACCTAGGAGCCCACCTGGAGCCCCACCCCACCCCAGCCGAGGACGGGACTGTCTGAGCAACAAAAAGGATAAGAACTCAATGAACTGAAGCACAAATATGCTGAAATCTATACATTCTTAATACAAAAACAGACACATTGATCACCTTTGAAGGATGCTAGGGAACCACCTCTTGCAAATTGGTAAATTAAGAGAAAGACTGGAACGTTTACTTGCCTTTCCTCCATAAACAGTAACTAAATAGCCCTGGAGGAAGCTGCTCTTTCCCACCGAGTTCCATCAGGTGAGTGAAGAAGGCGGCATGGAGCTGCGGCATTGCTGTTCTGCCTTCTCATGGGTAAGAACGTTCTTAGATGAACCTGAACACGGTGGCTTCCGACAACAGACAAGCCTGTGCCTCCTGATAAAGAATACGCCCCCACCTCTGAAGCACTCTTGCCTGCAAACCTGAATCTGATTAAGGCTCTAAATTCATTTGCCAATTAACAGGAAATATCAAGAAAAATATTAGTAGATTCCATGGGGATGCAATCTGCAAAATCTTGACAGCAGGAAATTCCCTGAGACAAATGATTCACTTTTTTCAAAGAAATAAACTGCTAGAAGATATAGCGAAGCCAGCACTGAGCCATAGCACTGAGGGACACACACTAGGGGAACAAAACCCCACAGCAAAGGAGGTGGTTTGCCGGGCCAAGACAGGGGCCGCACCTCGGGGCACGGGGCGGGCACTGGGGTGTTTGTTCCAGGGTCATGTTCACAGTAATTACCCTGTGCATTTGTCTTACGGTGTTGTTTTCTGTAGTGCGTGCATTCTTCTGGCTATCAGGTGCTTTGTTCTGTTTTTTTTAAGGAGACCAAGCTCAGAGGACTTGGAGACGGCTGTGAGAATGTGGGGGTGAGTAGGGCGACCCCAGGTTCTGACACTGGAGCTGGGCTCCAGTGATGTTTATGGTGGCAGGTACGGCGGGACACATGTGTCCAGGAGGCCACGGCTTGCCTCCTCCCTGCACGTGTGCCCTGCTGGCTGCCACACCACGCCGCGGCCTCAGTGAGGGTCAGACTCACAAGCTGCTGCAGGTCTTTATTGCCACTGGACAGAGGGGCCACCAGGGAGGGGAGTGCTGACTGTAGGTGGGTGTGTGGGGTGCTCCAGGGAGGCCGGGGCGGGTCATCACTGTGTCTGACAGTGGCTGTCACCATGGGGCACCCGGCCAGGCCTGGGCGGGGTGGGCAGGCCAGTCACCAGCTCAGGATGCCAGGGCAGTACTTGTCGATGAGCCCCTGGTAGTAGGGCCGCAGCTTGTCCACGTCTGGCAGGTCAGGACACTTGGTGTAGAGGTCAAACTTGCTGCAGCAGGGGAGGGACAGTGCCTCGTGAAGAAGCCCCCAGCCTCCCCAGTGCCCCTCTCCCCAGCCCCTCACAAGGATGGCCATACTTGAACTCCTGCACCCAGGGCAGCATGGCCAGGTCCTGCTCGTTGCACAGCTGCCGGTAGTCGCCGCCCGTGTGCCACGGGTAGAAAGAGTGGAACCGGACCATGTAGAAGGCCTGGGGGTGGGAGGAAGGCACACCAGCCAGCACGCTCGAGGCTGGGCTGGGCTGGACTGGCCTGGGGCTGGACTGGCCTGGGCTGGGCTGGGCTGGGCTGGGCTGGACTGAGCTGGGTTCTTGGTTTGGCCCCTCACCCCTGCCTACCTCCGGGGGGAGGGAGAATTTGTTGAACTTCATCACCTGGTACATGTACTCTGCGGGAGAGAGCGTGTCACCACCAGGGACCCAGAGGGGAGACCCCACCAAGGTCCCCATCATGCCCACCTCTGACTGGCCTCACCGTCATGGCCCCAGGACATGAGGACGTTCTGGAGTCCGCAATGGGGTTGGTACATGCCGAGCTCTGTGCTGCAGGGGGAGATGGAAGGTGAGGGCTCAGGAGCACCCTGGGGAGGGGGAGGGCCAGCAGCAGGGGAGGGCACCTGTATCGAGGATCCTGGAGGTCGGGGTTGTCCTGGAAGGTGGAGTCACAGAAAACCACAGAGGCCTGGGGACGGCAGCCAACTGGGAAGGTGTCTCCAACGACCGCCCACTGGGGAGGAACAGGCAGCCGTGGGGGATGAGTGGCCTGCCCACCAAGTGGGTATCTGCTGCCCTCGCCAAGCTTTACCAGCTCCCTCCACCCCTGCCCTCACCTGGGGCTCCCCGGCTCTCACCTGGGGCTCCCCTGCCAGAACCAGGACCTTCCCCAGGTCATGCAGGAGCCCGACGAGGTGGAACCAGTCTGGGAGGGAGAAGGACAGGGCGGGCTATTGGGGGTTCTGGGGCCGGGGCCGAAAGCCCCGTCTGCCCTCCCGCTGCAGCCCTTGGGGGCAACAACTCCCCCCAACAGCTGGTGGACAGGGTGGGGGCGCACCCTTGTCAGGGTGGGCCTTCCGGATGCCCTCAGCCGTCTGGAAGGCATGGAAGGAGTTGGGGAAGTCCACGTCTGGGTCCGACTCATCCACCAGCCTGTCCAGCATGTCCACAGCCTCCAAGATAGTCATTTTCTTATAGGAGAAGCCCCCGAACTGGGCGTGCTAGGCCAGGAAGGAAGAGGTTAGCACGACCCAGGGGGCAGCTGGACCAGAGCCCAGTCCGTCTCCATCTACTCGGTACTGAGGGGCAGGGAGGGCGGTGGGGGGGGGAGGGGTGGTGCAGGGGGCGAGGGAGCGCAGCCCCACCCTCCGAGTTGCAGTAGGAGTCTGCCAGGTACCTTCTTCCTGACAAAGTCCACAGTCTGCCATGTATGCATGAGCTTGTAGGTGGCGCAGACACGGTCCAGGAGCAGGCTGGACTGCAAGCCAGAGGGTCAGCCAGGCGGCTAGGCAACCCCTGCCCTTCACACCCAGGGGGCCCACTGCCTCCCCTCTCCCAGGCCTGGTCCCAGGTGTGAACAAGGGGTTTCCCCAAGGGCGGCCCCTGGAGCTGTGTGAAGGGCAGGTGCTGCCCTCCCCAGCGAAAGGCCTGCGCGGAGCAGGAGGGGGCTGGGTGAGGGGTGGGGCAGGGGCAAGGAGGGGTCCTCACGGTGTAGTTTCGGAAGCTGCCCTTGTCTTTGGCTGTCTCTGGATCCATATCAGGCCGGTAGACCAGGGATGGGTCTGGGCCCTGGTTGAGTGGGAGATTGAACCCATTTCACCGCGATGCCAGCTCCACGAGGAAGTGAGGACATCCTCATGGGGGCATGAGACTCTGAGACACGGGTCAGCAGCCCAGGCCAATGGATGCCCAGGGTTAGGGTTAGGGTTAGGGTTAGCCCCTCCCCAGCGAGCACGCCCGCTGTCTCTGGCTCCCTGGCCCCTGCACCGGCACAGGGGCCTTGGCAAATCTAAGGGTTAGAGTTAGGGTTAGGGTTAGGGTTAGCCCCTCCCCATCAAGCACGCCCACTGTCACTGGCCCCTGCACCGGCACAAGGGCCTTGGCAAGTCTGAGGCACTCTCGCTCCTGGCGTCCTCATCTGTGAAGCGGATGTCAGCTGGATGCCTGCTTCCAGGATAATGCACAGGTGCGGGGGATGTTGTGTGGAGTGCACAGCACCCCCATCCTGCAACTCCTTCTCAAGACCTGGCTCCACAGGAAGCCCAGGAGTCAGGCCGCTGACCCTTGCCCCAGCTAGACCACAATAGGAAGGAGGGAGCCCTCTGATTCGGATAAACAGGCTGGTGGGAACCAGCTGGAGGGGGCAGGGGGCTGCCGCCCCTTTCCGCAAAGGACAGCTGGCTACTGGGTAAGCCGCCAGTGGGGCCTCTTCTGTGCCGGGTCTGGGAACTCACCACAACCACCTTCATCCTGAGAGGAGCAGAGCTGGCAGGTAGGCAAGTCCCATGGGCCCGTGTGCCCATATATGCCCACAGGTTACATAAGTGACCAGATACCACCCAGCCCCTTGACCTCGGCCCTCAGTAATGAGTGACCATCCACCCTCCTCCTGGCCTCAGCAAGTTAATGTGTCAGCACAGGAGCACAGGAGCAGCCCGCTGTGGTCCCAGCCCCCCTCCCCCTGACCTCAGCCTCCCTGAGCAACTGACCTGCTTAGGACGTCGAGGCGGCTCTGCAGCCAGCCTCCTGCTCTTGGCCTTTGAGCTTCAAACCCCTCCCACAGGTGGTGCAGACCCCAGGCCCCACCCCATCACCTCAGGCACCTGGGATTCTGGGTGGGGTGGGGGTTATCAAAGAAAAAGTTATTCTGACATTTGTTAAAATGGAAAGGAAGACTTTATTCAAGACTATTGCCATAGGCAAGAGAGATGGGGCTCTACTCTGAATACAGCACAGACGGGGGGATTGATAGCCAACCAACAAAGTGGGGGGTCGGTGGATGGAAAATTGCGAAGAGGAGACATCAAGGGTGGGGGAGATCTTGCTAAACTTGACAGGATTCTTGCTGAAGGCAGGCCCTGGTGATCAGATCTCAAGGGTGGGGGATAAGGATCTGATTGGATCTCAAGGGTGGGGGCTGAGGATCTGATTGGATCTCAAGGGTGGGGGCTGAGGAATTTGATCAGATCTGCTGATACTGGAGGAGAGGGTTCAGAGGAGCCTGAATGAAGTCTGGTCAAGGGGGATCTGTCAGGCTCTTGGGCTGAGGGGCACTTGTCATGTGTGGGCCAGGTCTGGACACAGCAGGGACGTGACAAACATGCCTGGCCAGGGGCTGACCTTCTCCAAGGAGGAGGCAGACATGAGACATCATTGTCTCATGCTGGCAGGAGGCTGGCAGTCTGGAGAGACTGGGGCCTGCGTGTGGTCAGGGTAGAGTCTGAGCGGGGAGAGGGCAGTGGGTGATGTCGGGGCCATACCTAATGGGGTGCGGTTCAGAGCACCAAGTGGGCTTCACTGTGAGGGAAGGAGCCTGTGGGGGCTTCTCTTACTGTGGGCTCCTTCTACCTACACTGAGAAGGCGCGGTAGCCTACCTACACTGGGGGGCGTGGTGCAGGGTCCCCCACTTAAAACGGCAAGTGCAACCTGCCTTCAGGCCGTGACCCCGGGGCTTGCTGGCACCTCGTTCTTCCACCTGCTGCATCATTTTCTCCTCCTGCCTTTGAGGCTGTTTCCCGTCTCCTCCCATAGCTTTTGGGGGGAGGGTGTGTTTTATTTGCTGTCTCCCCACACGCTCAGCCAGCATTTGCCAGAGGGATGGAGAGGGAACCCCAGGGAGAAGGCTGGAGCCATCACCCCCAAAGCAGGTGGTGGCTTGCACCAGGAGAAGGAAGAAATGGCCATCGACAGGATTGGGATGAGGGAGATGGGATGAGGAGAGGGAGAGGAGGTTTGGCCGCAGCAGGAGCAGGGGGAAGGCACTGGGGGGATGTGGGGGGCCGGGGGAGCTCGGGTGCTACCACCAGACCTCCAAGTGGGGTGTCAGGTCGGCAGCCGGGACACAGCTTGGAGCTCAGGGGTGAGGGGGCACCAGATGCAATGCTGTGACCATGGCAGGTGACCTCATGACACTGTGTCATGAGGTCAACAGTCTGTCCTGCCTCTTGGGAAAGCAATCCAAGGCTCGGGGAGCGCCTCGGCAAGGGCAGTGGAATCCTGGGGGCTGGCAGCCTGTGTCACGGTGAGGAGGGGGCAGGGTCTCACCATGAGAAGGGGCAGTGGGGGTGTTCCTGACAGAGGGAACATCCTATGCAGAGGACTCTGCCCTGGGGGCGGAGCCTGGGAGGGTCTTGGCCAAGCTGAGCTCCTGACTCTCCCGACTTGGCCCTCCTGGACCCCTGCTCTTCCTCATTGTCCAGTCCCCCTTGCCCTGTCCTCACTGCCCACCCTCCCTGCCTGCCTCTGCTGATACCCTTCAGTGACCGCAGGCACATGACTCTGAGGCCTGGCCCATTGTCCTCTCCAGCTGCCCTCCCCACCACTCCCCCCCCACCCCCCAACACATCCTGGTTCCAGCCTCTTAGCTGCTTTTGGGCAGCCTCTCCTGGCCACACCCACACCTCCTATGGACTGGGACCTTGGCACTCACAGCTCCTTCCCCAGGGACCCCTGCCGTCCTCAGACCCATGCTTCCTCCAGGCAGCCTGCCTGCTCTGCTTGCCACCTCGACCCTGACCCCCCTACACTGCAATTCCTGGTCTGTCTCCCCGTGCATGGAGGCCTCCAGCAGGGCAGGGACCAGCCTGAACTCTTCCCACGGGGCCTCATGGAGGGACGTTGCCTTACCTGGCCAGGTGACCTGTGACCTGGAAGAGCAAGCAGAGGGGTGGGTGTTCCAGAAGACCCCCGTCTTTGGGGGCACTGGGGTGTCTCAGGGGCAAGCCTGCCTGTGACCCAGATCATGGGCTCTCTGACTGTTGTGACCGTGGGCACGTCCTTGACTTCTGTGGCTGCAGTTTCTGCCTGTAGAGTTGAGATAATGATGGGGGAACCCTGGGCCCTCCAGGACCAGTTCAATCACTCTTATCAACAGAGTGATTAAGAATTGCCTTTCAGGGCCCGCCCCGTGGCCTAGCGGTTAAGTGTGCGGGTTCGGATCCCGGGCGCGCACCAACGCACCGCTTCTCCGGCCATGCTGAGGCCGCGTCCCACGTACAGCAGCGAGAAGGATGTGCAGCTATGACATACAACTATCTACTGGGGCTTTGGGGGAAAAATAAATAAATAAAAAAAAAAAAAAAAAAAAGAATTGCCTTTCAGAAAACCTGCAAAGTCACATAGCCAGAGCATGTGCAAAAGAAGATATTGTGACCTGAAATGAGCTCGGAACCAAAGATTCTCCTTCCCATGGAACTCAAGGACCAGGACATGAACGGAACTTGAAAGTTGGACTCTTATCAGAAGCGAGGAGTCCCTCATTCAGGAAGGTCTGGTGTTAAAATTCCTTCCCCATCTCATCATAAAGGTTTAGAGCCCTGTTATAAATGTTTGAAACCTTACTATAAATGTTTGAAGCCCACCGATCAAAACCTGTCCCACCAGTGTTTCTGCATGCCAGCCTGTTGTCCCTAACCTCTTAAATTTCCCCCCAAATCCTCAATCGGGGAGACAGATCTGAGGACAGATGCCCCCCCTGTCTCCCTCACATTGATCTCGCAGAATAAAGCTGATCTCTTTTCCCAAAGGCTGATGCCATAGTTAATTGGCTTGTTTATGTACATCAGGCAAGTGAACCCCAATTTTGTGCAGTAACAATTGGCGGCAATGAAGGGACAACCTGCCCAAGGCTCTGGAACCCCTGGTGGGGCATGGGGTCTTTTCATTGCCCCTAAGCAGCTGCCTAGACAATTTTGTCTGGAGGCTTGACTGATTGTATTCTTGTTTCCTGCTGCACTCCAGGCTACAAGTTTTTTCCCTTTGGGAGAAGAAAACAGCTCCAGGATCAAAAGTGTTTTGGGTGAGTGACCTCATTGAAATGCACCTGTGCCTAAAATTGTCTAAGATCTCATCCAGATTGTGGGTTAGAGGCCCCACTGGTGAAGTTTTTGCTGGGTTAAAGTCCCAAGGCTAGGACTGTGGGTTTAAGGGAGACAATATAAAAGGGTTACAGCCACTGGGGCACTCAAAAGGATCAGGTTAGAGTCTCGAGCTGTGGGGTAGGGTACCAGAGCACCCTGAGTTAGAGGCCTAGAGTATTTTTTTTTTATAATTTTATTTATTTATTTTTCCCCCAAAGCCCCAGTAGATAGTTGTATGTCAGAGCTGCACGTCCTTCCAGTTGCTGCATGTGGGACGCGGCCCCAGCACGGCCGGAGAAGCGGTGCTTCCGCGCACGCCCGGAATCCGAACCCCGGCCGCCAGCAGCGGAGCGCGCGCACTTAACCGCAAAGCCACGGGGCCGAGGCCTAGAGTATTGAACTTTGGCGTCTGTTCATGTTTGTCTATGTCTGACTGTTTTATTTGTTAATATTGGCTGTTTGGGGACTGTGTTTCTTGGCGACTGTTACAAACTCTCTCCAAAAATTATCTTCCTTGTTGTGGCCACCTTGGGAAGAGCCCCCTGAAATGGGGATAAATGTAAACAGCTGGCAAGATAACCCGGGATGATTCAAAGCTACAGTGGCCTCTGTGGGGTCGTTTTGAGCTTTTGTACTAAGAAACAAAGAAATCTTCAACGAGTCAAGGGCTGCACCTTTCGACCTACAGGTCCCAGGAGCTATAAGTGTTTACAAAGAACTGCAGGATCTCGCCAAGCTTGTTTTGTGTCCTGAGGGCTTTGCTGATAATTCTCAGGTTGGGGGGCGGGGTCCCAAAACTGAGGTGGGACAAAAACGCAGTTGCACCCCGTTTTGCAGTCAGAGATGGTCAGGCAGAAATGCAGGTTGCACTCCTGTTTGTGGCTAAGCCTCCTACCAAACTGCCGTCAGCCTCAGGGGAATTACATTGGCCATTAGAAGGAAGCCTTGGCTTGGCCTTCATTGTGAGGGTCTTGATTTTGGGGATGCCCCAAATTTTCATGATCTAGTTCTAGCTGCAGCATAAATATACTTTTGACCGGGCTGTGTCTAAATTCTGAAACAATGGGAAATGCTAATTTGATCCCCACTTGTAGCCCCTTAGGCTGCATTCTCCCAAGTTGGATGACTTTTAGCTACAAGTACGTAGTACGAGCTACTGAGTACTCATTGGTTTATTGATCCTTCTCCTCCCAGAGATGGTCACTATTTTTCTTTGTCTCTGTCTTTTGTGTCGTTTGTCATAGAACGGAAAAAACCATAGGGCAAGAGCTGAGCATCTCTATAAGCCTGTTGTCTGGACAGGCTGCAGTAAATTTTGCTGTAGGGTCCACCAATGGAGTATGCACATAGGGTGGAAGCTGTTGCTAAGGGGTGTCTTGGAAGCCAAAAAAGGCCGCAAAATTGGTGGGTGCCGGTGGAGCAGTTAAGAGCCATTAGGGTGTTCACCACCTCACAAAGACT